AAGCCTGTAGGTCCAGGACTTGAACCATGGTCGGCCATGTGGGAGTCCAGCGTCCTTAACCACCATGCCACCTGCTGGCCCCTATTATTATTATTATTATTATTATTTTAAAATTTACTATAGCGCATGTGGACTCACTAGAGAGAGACAGGAAAAGAGAGAGAGAGAGAGAGAGGGAAAGTGAGAAGGCAATCTGCCAAATCCAGGACTTGAACCATGGTTGGCCATGTAGGAGTCCATTGCCTTAACCATCACACCACCTGCCGACTCCACAACTGCTTCTCTCATTCAGTATTAGTTGATGTGTTTCTGTAGACCACCAGGCATGTACGGAAAGAAAGACTTAATGTGGTACATTAAAAAAAAATTGTTAAAGAGAGCATGCACTGCAACACTCATTGTTATAGTGAGTGCAGAGAGAGAGAGAGAGAGAGAGAGAGAGTGATTGAGATCACCCCAGGAGGGATGGCCATGCTGCAATCCCTTCTCCTGTCCTCTGCTCTCAGGGTTTTGGGCGCACACATGTTCAGTGTGCCTAGCATGTTTTTCAACCCACTGGGTCCAGGATTCGAACCGTTCGGCTGGCCACGTGAGATCCAGCCACTTTAACCACCATGCCACCAGCTGGCTCAACATTGTATATTTTAATATGATGCTTCTCTCTCTCTCTTTAAAGCATTATCTATTCATTTCTACCTGTGTGCAAGGAAAAACACAGTCCCAGGCTGTCCAGAGTAGCCACCCTGAAATATAGTTTTTGAAGAACTAGTTCAATAAAATGTTAAGATGTTACTCAAAAAAGGGCCTATGTCAAGGAAGTTTAGAAAACACTAGATTAGAAAACAATTCTCTTGACAGATGTTTTTACTGCAGGACGTTTTACTGCCTCTGGAAGGGGACATGTGTACAGCGTTCCCCAAACTCAACAGTAGGGTTCTTTTCCCCTCAGGACAGCTTGAGGGTTGGTTGGTGTTCTTGGAACGTCATTTTGTTAAAGGTTTTGTAGAGAAGAGTGAATTTTCTCTCATTTCCCTATCTTCTGTGTGTGTGTGTTATATAAGCCCTTGAGGATTATAATCCTGAGGTCATAATCTTATTTTTACTAAATTTGATCCCAACTCCTAATGTAGGCTTTTGAAATTGTTCATTTCAGATGGAGAACAAAACAAAACCTAGATTATTGTTTTCTAATGATGTATGCTCAGGAAAAGGGCATATATTACATTCAGGTAAGTGGGATTTTTGTTTCTTTAACATTTTTCACACTTGTGAAGAAAAAGTATCAAGGGTGTATATGTGTGTGTGTGTAGATATATATCTTTAAAGTTTATTTCTTCCATGCGTGAGCGCAGTGGAGACAGGCAGATTCAGCATCCCTCACAGGGTCTCAATGCCATGCTCTCCTCCAGCCTCAGCTGGCCCTGGTTGGCCCTGGCTCATGGGCACACACGTGTGTGACTCAATCAGAAAAGTCTCGAATGTGAATCCAGAACCTTCCCACGTAGGGTCTCCTCACAGCCTATCATGGTACTACTGTGCCACAGACTGGGCCCCTTAAAGGTATTTTAAAAATGAAAACAGGAAGTTTTGAAAGCATAGACCCTCTCAGATCTATAAGGTCGTGAAATCCTGGATCACAAGATGGATCAGAGCACACACGGGTCCATGTGTGATGGAGAAAGTCCTGAGTGTAGACACCAGCTCCCTACTTGGTGAGGTGACCATGTGCAGATCCTCATCTCCTCCTTTTTCATTTTCTCTATTCCTCCATCTTTTCTCTTTTCTTTCCTCTCTCCACTGTTAAAAATAACGAAGTTATGCAGTTAGCATAATGGCTATGTCGCTGGACTCCCACGTAGTCAACCGTGGTTCACGTCCCGGACCCTGTGGCTTAAAACCCACGCTGGGCGCGTGTGCGTGCGTGCCCAAGATCCCGAGAGGAGAATAGAGGAGAAGGGATTGCGGCGTGCCCATCCCCTCTTGGGGGTGATTTCTCACTTTCTGTCTCTGTCTGTCTGGCGAGCACACGCTCCCTATAGTGAAAAACCTCTAAAAAAAAAAAAAAAAAAAAAACCTGAAGATTTCCTTATATGGCAAGTTAAAGGATTTCCTCATTTTGTTAGTGGTCTTATGGTAATTTTTATAGGGCACAAATGCAGTTACATTTGTATTGAAGACAGTAGCTTACACTTTTCATTCTAGTGGTCCAGTGTTTAGTTGCGTGGCCACATACTGTATGAGTAAAATACTCCTGCGATGATGGGGCTTTCAAGTTAGCCAGGCAGGCCACAGCTAAGAGAATTCTAGGAAGCTCTTACTTCCTCCAAATCTCCTTCTTCTTAGTGACTTAAGATTAAATGTCACAACTGGAATTTTATTTCTTTAACCAGAAAGTTTCTTTATCCCTGCTTATAATGCAAATACCCTTGAGAAGTGTAGCATACTAAGGCTGTTGGCTATTATTTTTCAATATAAAGGTTTATTAGAGTCTCTCCTGAGGGTGGCAAGAAGAGCCTGGCTGCCGGAGTCTGAGAGGAAGTGCTTGAGCAGCTGCAGGGGTGGAGTAGGAGTTTTTTTTGGCAAGGAGGAAAGTGTGACCTCACTGGGAGGACAGATAGACCGAGGTCCGACACTGCTTCCTCTGACATTTGACTAGGCAGCTGCATGCAAATGCACGAGGACTCTTCTCTGGTCTGTAGGATGGGAACTGTAACCGATGCACACAGCAGAACAGTCCATCATGCAGAGCGGCACTTCAGAATGTGAAATCCTAGCCTGGATGTAGAAGTATGCTCTCTCGAAACACCTCAGAGAAATCTGCTTTTAACTTCAATATAATGAGGAAAGCATTTTATTCTAATAGATCCCAGTTACGATTAGTGCAACCTTGTGATTTTATTCTAGGGCCAATAAATTTGTTTATTATAGTTAAGAACGTTATAAAATTTTAATAGTAGTTACATTGTTTTTAAAATTCATTTCTTAAAGAATTATTTTATTTAACTTTATTTATTTATTTATTTATTTATTTATTTATTTTAATTTGACCGGAGAGGGGCAGGAAGAGAGAGAGAAAGAGAGAGAGAGAGAGGGAAAGTGAGAAAGCAAGCCATCAGGTCCTGAACTCAAACTGCAATTGGCCACGTGGGAGTCCAGCGTCCTTAACCACCGTGCTGCCTTCTGGCCCCTTAAAATTCATTTTAGATCTCTCTCCAAGGATAAAATTGATGGAAACGTAAAGCTGTTTCATAGAGTAGGGGAAGAATAAGTATGTAGAAAGCTAAGGCTAGGATGGGGATAAAAAAGTGGGTAGTAAGGAGAACTTCCCCAAAGCAGAGTCAGAATATAAGACCTAACCACAGCAGCCATTACAAACTTGGCATTTGTCACAGCTGTTCTTTACAACTTATGCATTGCATTTCTTTATTTAAAAGAAAGTTTTAAAGTTACTTCTTTGGGGAAGAGAGAGACCCCAACATGATCCCCACCATCTCAGACTGCCCATTTCACAGGTGCATGTGTGCACCTGGTGCTCTGGGAGGTCCCAGGATGCAAGACTAGGACTTTTTTTTTTTTTTTCCCCCCCATAAGGCATGTGCTCTGCCAGAGAGACAGAGAAAGTGAGAAGTCATCCCCCAGGGGGATGGCCATGCTACAATCCCTTCCTTCCAGTCTCTCTTGGATTTTGGGTATGCACGCACGCACACACGCACAAGCGTGATTTTCAAGCCTCCATGTCTAGGACTTAAACCACCATATCACCTGCTGGCCCAGTTTTGTGCCTTCTTCTTCTTTTCCCTCTTCTTCTTCCTTCTTTTTTTCTACGCTTTTTACCGTAGGGCCCATGTACTCGCTGGAGAGACAGACAGTAAGAGGGAAAGTAAGAAATTACTTCCCATGGGAAATGGCCACGCCACAATTCCTTCTCCATTCTCCTCCTGGGATTTTGGGCAGGTACCTGGCATGCTTTGTCAGTACCAGGCCTGGTACTGTAACCACAGTCAGCCATGTGGGAGTCCAGCGTCTCACCTACCATCCCACCTGCTGGCTCCTGCAAACCTAAGACCTTTCCCATATGGGTCCAGTTGCATTACCACCTGGCCCCTGTATTTACAGTTATTAATTCATTTAATACAGCCCTCTTTTTTATTGTAAAAAATGTACATTAAATTTATTATCTTTAAAAAATTTTGCTATAGGACGTGTGTGCTTGTGAGAGAGTGAGAAAGTGAACCCTCATGCTCCCTAGGGGATGACTTTTGGCAGGATGACAGACTTCATACCCCTGTCCAGGGATCCAAAGTAGGTTCAACCCCTTGCCACTCAACAAAATGGCAAAATTGTTGATGAGAGAAGAAAGGAGAATTTATAGCAGTATAGTCGCACTGGGAAGACATGAAGTCAGCCAACTTACAGATGCAGTGGGGCTAAGGGCTCTCTATCGAAAGGCATAGATCGGGTTAATTTTTAGCTAGAGAGCATACTCGAGTGATTGGTCTTTGAGATCAGCTAAGGAGCTTCAAGACAAGAGTTTCAGCTTGTGACTGGGCAGAGCATTTCAGGCTCATTGTTTTGACCTCCAGGTTGACCATTTGCCTCTTTGGAGTTCCTGTGAGAAACCTCAAAGAGTATTAGGCTGAGAGAAAAATAGTTTTTGATTAAAGAGGATAGAGTCAGTCTGGCTAAGCAAGCCCCTGTTAACGTGGCCACTCCATAATCCATTGTCCTCTTTGGCTTTTGAGCCCCCACACATGTGCCTGGTGTGCTCCCCCCTGCCCCAGCTGCGAGGTCCATGACTGCATGCATTCAGCAGTGTGGTGTCCAGCTGCCTTAACCACCAGGCCATGGGTTGGCCCTAAATTTACTATCATAACAATGTGTTAAGTATACAGTTGTGTTAAACATATTTACGTTGTTTTACAGCAGATCTTTAGAACTTTTTACTTGCAAAACTGAAAGTCTTTACCCATTAAACATGTATTTACCCGTCCATCTCCCCTGTCCTTGGTTACCGTCTCTGTACTTTCTGTTTCCCTGACTGTTGGTTATTTTAGATAATCCACATGAACAGAATCATACAGTATTTGTCCTTTTGTGACTGGTTTATTTTATTTAGGTTTTTGCTACAGGACATGTGTGCTCATCAGAAAGACAGAGACACAGAGACAGAAAGCGAGAAATCACCCCCCAGGGGGGATGACCACGCCACAATCCCTTCTCCATTCTCCTCTCGGGATCTTGGGCACGCACGCACATGCGCCTGGTGTGAGTTTAAGCCACCAGATCTGGGACTTGAACCACGGTGGACTACATGAGAGTCCAGCAACATAGCCATTATGCCAAACTGCTGGTCTCAGAATTTCATTTCTTTTTAAAGGCTGCATAATATTCTGTTGTATGTTTATACCACATTTTCTTCATTCTTTCATTGATGGACATTTGAGTTTCTTTTAGGTCTTGGCTCTTGTGACTAGTGCTGGGATGGACAGGCATATGCTCGTATCTCTTTGTGGTCCCCCCCCTTTTTTTTTTTGAGAGGTTTTTGCTATAGGGCACGTGCGCTTGCCAGACAGACACAGACAGACAGAGAGACAGAAAGTGAGAAATCCCCCCCCGGGGGGATGGCCACACCACAGTTCCTTCTCCTCCATTCTCCTCTCGGGATCTTGAGCACGCACGCACATGCGCCCAGCGTGAGTTTTAAGCGACCAGGTCGGGGACGCGAACCGTGGTCGACGACGTGGGAGTCCAGCGACATAGCCATTATGCTAACTGCTGGTCCCTCTTTGTGGTCCCGCTTTGAGTTCTTTGGATATATACCTAGGAGTGGGATTGCGGGATCATATGATAGTTCTATTTTTAACTTCTGAGAAACCTCCATACTGCTTACAATAATGGCTGCTCTATTTTACATTCCTTCCAACAATGCACAGGATTCCAATTTCTTGGCATTCTTGCCAACACTTGTTAGCTTCTGGTCTTTTACTAGTAGCACTACTGTAGGTTGAATATGTCCTCCCACAATCCATGTGTTGAGCCGTTATAAGAGGATAAAAAGGCGGGACCAGCAGTTAACATAATGGCTATGTCGCTGGACTCCCACATAGTCGACCGTGGTTCGCGTCCTGGACCCGGTGGCTTAAAACTCACGCCGGGTGCGTGTGCGTGCGTCCCCAAGATCCCTAGAGAAGAATGAAGGAGAAGGGATTGTGGCATGGCTATCCCCCCT